GAAAATAAGAGGCTAGGCAATTGTGGCCTCTTCCTTTTACTGTTACTATGTAAATCAACTGATGTTATCAAGATCTTTATCATGTGTAATCGCCATTTTGAATATTTGCTTCCATTTTTGGGCAGACCACCCCCCTTTTATACTGCGCATGCTCGTTTAAGCGATTCTAATTAACGCGCCACCAAAGTGGTGGTAAAATGGCGGATTTTTGGAGGAAAGACAGGCTGAACAATCTTCTCTTTTATCCAGCCATTCTAGCTGTAGGAGCCACTTTGAGCTGTCCTTTTGTTTCAGTATACTCTATTTATCTCTTCTGTAAGCTCTTTGGTTGCTGTTTTGGCTTTTATAGCATTTTATCATAGGAATATTCTCACCCATTGGCAATTCCCGTTTTTCTAAATTTTGCTTTCAGGAGCCAAGGCGCTTGCCCCTCCATTGCCATGAAGACAGAAGTGTATTCAGCTGAGTCCTATGACTAGTGTCTATCATCAGAGTTAGTCTCAGTCCATCAGAACCAGGTACGGTGGAATAACTCACTCAGTTGTCATGTTGCAGCTGGAGTGTGGATGATTATGACCATCTTTTCACCTCTTAAAACTATAGGATTGGTCTTTAATCACATGTAAGAAGCATTCCAAGAAACATAAGTGTGCTCGAATAGCTCAGCATCATGTAACTAGCTCTTAATAGTAACGTCCAGTATGAAGTAAAACACTTCCATTGTTACATGATTTTAATATTTTATTTATGATAAAAATTGATGTCAATTACAATAATTATCTTTGTTATCATCAAAATAGTTTCTAATTATTGTGTATATACTGTTAATATCATAAAAGTATGAGTAAATACATAAATAGTCGTCTATACAAATGCAATGTAGTGACCTAGTGATTACAACAATAATAGTTCTAGCAACAACACCCATGTTTTTTATAATTTAAATAATAAGTAAAACTGTTGGGAGAGGATACAAATGGTTTAGAGCCATGAACGAGTCCTGAATGTGACGATTCCTCTCTGCAAGTATTGGATAGCGACACGGGGTATTAATACGACATGAGGTGCTCATACAATACAACCAGTGAATGTACAGATAAAGAATGAGCTCTTGCATGCCTCAACTATCTATAAAAGAGCCAACCTATAGTTTTAAGAAGTGAAAAGATGGTCATAATCATCCACACTCCAGCTGCAACATGACAACTGAGTGAGTTATTCCACCGTACCTGGTTCTGATGGACTGAGACTAACTCTGATGATAGACACTAGTCATAGGACTCAGCTGAATACACTTCTGTCTTCATGGCAATGGAGGGGCAAGCGCCTTGGCTCCTGAAAGCAAAATTTAGAAAAACGGGAATTGCCAATGGGTGAGAATATTCCTATGATAAAATGCTATAAAAGCCAAAACAGCAACCAAAGAGCTTACAGAAGAGATAAATAGAGTATACTGAAACAAAAGGACAGCTCAAAGTGGCTCCTACAGCTAGAATGGCTGGATAAAAGAGAAGATTGTTCAGCCTGTCTTTCCTCCAAAAATCCGCCATTTTACCACCACTTTGGGTG